ATATAAATATATATATATAATGTAATATTACTCAGTCATCAAAAGGAATGAAATCTTGCCATTTGCAACAATGTGGATGGAGCTAGAGAGTATTATGCTAAGGAAATAAGTCAGAGAAATACAAATACCATATGATTTCACTCATATTTAAGAAATAAAACAGATGAACATGGTGGGGGTGGGGTGGGTTGGGAAGAGAGGCAAACCAGACTCTTAACTACAGAGAACAAACTGAGGATTACTGGAGGAGAAGTGGGGGTGGGAGAGTGGGAGGATGGGCTGAATGGGGGAAGGACATTAAGCAGAGAACTTAACGTGATGAGCATTGGGTGTTGTGTGTAAGTGATGAATCACTAGATTCTACACCTGAAACTAATGTTAACTAACCGGAATTTAAAAACTTGAAAGACTAAAAACAACAACAACAACAACAACACCCCTCAGGATCATTATGTGGTACTTCCAATAGTAGTAGTAGTGGTAATAATAATAATAGTAATAATAGCAGCTACCATTTAAGGAGTACTAGTTTCATTTTACTGAAGGGAAGACTGAGGGGTCAGAGAGGAGGAATAACTTGCCAAAAGTCACACAGCTAGTAAGTTTAGAATTCACGTCTATCTGCCTTTAAAGCCTGCATTCTTTCTACCATACTGTTCTGCCTCCAAGAGGAATGGTCCCATTAGAATGAGTAGGGATAAGAAAGAAGGATTCTTGGTATAAAATGTTGGGAGCTATTATCCGGAGTCCTCACTCCCAGCCAGCACATTACTGCCACTTCACCTTCCTTAGCTGACACTTTCCTAGTCCTGTTCCCAAAATACTGTTCAGAACTGAAGGCAGGAGGAGGTAGAATATGTTTTCTGAGTCTGGCTGTGATTATTTGGCAGAGGGCAGGCTGACTTAACCAGGGAATGCGGTTCCACTTTAACCTACAGCTTCCAGCCTCCCTCCTCCGCCTCTTTTTGGAGGTAGGCCAGCCTGGGCCAGGTGCCACCTTCCCACCCATGAGGAGAGCAAATCAGGCTGCAATATGAAAAGCAAGGCCATTGGCCCTTGGGTGTCTCAGGGCAAGATGGCTTACGAAAGCACCATTTCTAGCTTGTCTCTCAGAAACCCAACTCAAAGCTAAGACTCAGCTTAATGTCATGTCTGACCCTCAAGAGATTTCAGGCAAGCCAGGAGAGGAGGCATACTAGGACCTGTATTTCAGCTAAGTGGAAAGGAGTCAGGCAGAATGTAGTCCAAGAGGTTCAGCTGAGGCAGAGAAAAGCAGAGACAAACAGACCAGAGGCCAGTTACAGGAGGAAGGAATCCACACTTAGATTCCTAAGCCCAAATCTGGCCACCCAAGAGTCTTAGCAAGAAGCTATGGGCGAAGAGCAATACGGCTACAGCAAAAATGGAGTTTGGTACTCCAAACTGAGGGCTCAGAGAGGTGGAATAACTTGCCAAAAGTCACATAGCTAGTAAGTTTAGAATTCACGTCTGAATCTAAAGCCTTGTCCCTCAGGTAGCCAAACAGACAGTTCCTGGCATTAACTTTTTCCTTTGTCCTTGAGCTCCTCCTTCTTTAAGAATTATGTTGATAGCAGAAAGAAAGAGGTCAGGTAAGCCTCAATGATACCATTAATACTGTGGGACCAAATGTGTCCCTGTGTAGATCACAGTAATGTTGGGAGGCCCCAAGAGATAATTCCTTATTTATGGATGGCTCTATAGGGTTCTGTAGGATTTCTATTGACTATTATAATGTATCATGCAAGAACCACACACTCCTTTATTATATGCTTTACAGTCTAGTAATAGGGTCATTAGCCTCCAACCCCACACATATTCTATAAAATATTCTTCAGTACTTTCATCTGTTTATTCTTCTAGAAAGATTTTAAAATCATTAAGTTTTAAGAAAAGGTCGTCTTGGGTTTTTGAGATTTTAAATCTAAGTTTTAATTTGCATAGAAAATTAACATCATTACAATATTTCATCTACCTACTTGAGAAGGAACAGAGACATCTCCATTTTTTCAAGTTTCCTAATTTCAGGAAATAATGTGTTAGAGCCTCAGGTATCGCCTGAGACCTTTCTGATTTGAGAGAATGTCTGCTCTTTCAGGGAAGGTGTGTTCTCCTGAAGGTTGTTGGATGGAGGGAGGACAAGCTTTGTAGTCATTTCAGCCAACTGTGCTCACTCTCTCCCCAGCGCTCTGGTGCTACTGATTGCTCAAGAGAAGGAAAGGAACATATTTGACCAGCGTGCTATAGAGAATGAGCTACTAGCCCGGTAAGTAAAGGAGGGGAGACCTCCAGATAATGGCCCTAGGCTTGTGAAGAACTACTCAGAACAGAGCATCCATTACCTCTAACCTTTGCCCATCTTTCCCAGGAATATCCACGTAATCCGTCGAAGGTTTGAAGATGTCTCTGAAAAGGGGTCTCTAGACCAAGACCGAAGGCTGTTTATGTAAGTGTTCAGGGAGCATTACTACTTTAGGAAACTTATTCTGCTACCCATTTCCCCCAGTAATCCTTTCTTCTAGGAGATGTGATGGCTTGCTTCCTTCTCTCTGAATTTTAGGGGCAAAATACCCCATCATCTCAGGAAAGTCTGGAGAAGGCTTGGTCATATTTTGCTTCTAAAAGGTTGTATCAGAGCTATTGACCTTTTTCTTTCTTTTTTTTAGAGAGAAAGTGCAAATGGGGGAAAGGGACAGAAGGAGAGAGAGAATCCTAAGCAGATTCCACACTCAGCACAGAGCCCAACACAGGGCTCAATCCCATGACCCCTGGCATCATGACCTGAGAGCTGGAAACCACAAGAGTTTACTTTAGTTGATTAAGCCAAATCTGGTGCAGGCACCCAAGAGGCTAACATTCTTGATAAGGGCCTTCTTAAAATAACCCTGGTTTTCATATGTCCCTGGACTCCTAAAAGCTTTCGTGCCCCTCTTGGTAGCTATCAGGCCTGGACAGTTGGGCTGAGCAGTCAGGGAGGAAGAGGAATAGCTTGCTCATTCTGTGATTGATCTGGGAGCTGCTCTCTGAGCTTAGGCAAGATATTATGGGGCCTGATTTTAGTTCAGCCAGGTTTTAAAGTGCGTTCTGCAGGGGGCTTCCACCAAGTGACTTTAGTACCACTTAGTTGGGTAGCATGTTTGCAACACACATATTTAGACCTGGAATTTTATGTTTTTTTTTTTTTTTTTTTTAATTGTGATTCTTTCTTTCTTTCTTTTTTTTTTTTTTAATGTTTTATTTATTTTTGAGAGAGAGTGTGAGCAGGGGAGGGGCAGAGGGAGAGGGAGACAGAGAAGCCCAAGCAGGCTCTGTGCTGTCAAAGAGACTGGATGCAGGGCTCAAGTTCACAAACTGAGATCACGAGTCAAATCAGAAAAAGCCGATGCTTAACTGATTGGAGCACATGCCCCTAATTCAGATTCTTAAGATTATGATCTCCACACAGAGCAAAACAGCTCAGTCACTTAAGCATCCAACTTCAGCTCAGGTCAGGCGATCCTCACAGTTCTCTGCGGGATTGAGCCCCGCGATCGGGTTTCAGCAAGCACAGCTCAGAGCCTGAGTCTGCTTGCCAGGTTCTCTGTGCCCTTACCCACTCATCACATTCCGCTCTCTCTTCTCTCAAAGATAAGTTAAATGAATAAACATTAAAAAAAAAAAAAAAAAAAAGAACCTCCATGAAATTTCATAGTACCACTTTTTTTTCTTTTTTTTTTTTTAATTTTTTTTTTTTCAACGTTGCTTTTTGGGACAGAGAGAGACAGGAGAGCATGAACGTGAGGGGCAGAGAGAGGGAGACACAGAATCGAAGCTCCAGGCTCTGAGCCATCAGCCCAGAGCCCGGACGTGGGGCTCCTCCGAACTCCCACGGACTCATGTGATCGCGGACCTGGTTGAAGTCGACGCTTTTAACCGACCGTTTACCCAGGTTTCAGCACCACTTCCTTTCTTAAATGTGCTTTATCATAACGTCATTAATTTACTTTCCAGACAGCGCATCAAGCCGCAGAAAGTGGGGAAGTAAAAAGACAGTCTCGACTATTGGGATGAGCACTGGTGTTAAAGGAAACCACTTGACAATAAATTTCATATTAAAAAAAATAAATTAAAAAAAAATAAAAAGTCTGTGTCTTAACTGGAGATTCATACTCTTTTGCATCTCTGCACCCTTATGTCCTGCCACTATCAAAAAAAATCCTTCAGCCTGGTTTCAGCCACTTTTTTTTTTTTTTAATGCTTTATTTTTGAGAGTCAGAGAGAGAGAGAGAGAGAGAGGAGAGACAGGGGGGAGGGCGGAGAGAGACACAGAATTTAGCAGGCTCCAGGCTCTGGAGCACAAGAACACAGAGCCTGATGAGGTTCTCACCTCACACAGTCCATGAGATCATGACCTGAGCCGAAGTTGGACGCTTAACTGAGCTACCAGGCTGCCCCAAGTAGTATAATGCAAGGTGTTTTGGTAGGCATGGCAATATGATTTTGAGGCTCAGTAATTTTTAGCCCACTTAAAAAAAAAAATTTATCTTGGGGTGTCCAGGTGGCTCAGTGTCTAAGCCCCCACATCGCCTCTGCTGATGACAGCCTGAGCCTGGAGCCTGCTTTGGATTCTGTGTCTCCCTCTCTGTCTGCCCCTCCCCCACTTCTGCTCTGTCTCTCTGCCTCTCTCAAAAATAAACATTAAGAAAAAATGTTTTTTTTAATTTATTTATCTGATTTGATTCTGGTTGCTTTCTTGCTTCCCTGTGGGCTTCCTACAATGACTCTAGATCTAGAATATTCTAAAGCATTCTTCACTGCATACCTTCATGTTTTTAGTGGAAGAAGTAGTAGTATGGGTATATCTACTTTCATTGCTTCCAGTGAACCCCTGACTAGGCAGCCTGTGTGGTCTGGCTTTCAAAGAGGACAAACTCATTTGGATGCACTGTGAAATCTACTGAATCACTCTATTAGTTATAATTTAACATAGCAGCATTCTCCATTCTGTGTTCTAGGGATGGCCAGGAAGTTGCTGTGGTTTATTTCCGGGATGGCTACATGCCAAGTCAGTACAGTGTACAGGTTGGTATTCTGTTAGACTATTCTCTGCCTCCTAGGACCCAAAATCATTCCTTGGAGACCCAGCTCAGGCATCACAATAACCTGGGTTTTTCCCTGGGCCCTGCCCTCAGTTCTTCCTCAGGGAACTTACTGCTGGAACCTCTTATTCTCCCACAAGCTTTTTACTATCTGTCACTCTCTACACACTGTCTTCTAGACTCTGAATCCTCAGGTATCTATGTTGCTTCAGCCATTCACACTGTTTCTAGGGATATACTGGCAAATGTTTTTTTAACGTTTGTTTATTTTTGAGAGAGACAGTGAGCGGCGGAGGGGCAGAAAGAGAGGGAGACTCAGAATCCAAAGCAGGCTCCAGCCTCTGAGCTGTTAGCACAGGGCCTACGTGAGACTTGAACCCAGGAACTGTGAGATCATGACCTGAGCCAATGTTGGATGCTCAACTGACTGACCCACCCAGGAGCTCCCTGGCAAATGTTAAACAGTCATCTTTTTAAGGGGGGAAGCCCCAGTTTGTAGCATTTGCTGATTTCTATGGTATACTCCCATCATGGCCGATTTCAAGTTACCCAACTTTTCTTTTTTTCACTGCTTCAGCAAGAACATTTGTTTTTTCCTTAAAGTTTTTATTTTTAAGTAATCTCTATACCCAACATGAGGCTCAAACCTACAACCCTGAGATCAATAGTCTTAGGTTCTAGGGACTGAGCCAGCCAGGTGCCCCCGACCTACTTAACATTTCTGAACCCAGAGATGGGTACAATCAGCTCTGGGTAGCTAATGCAAACCAGTTCCACCATACCACTGACCAGCTCCTTCCTGCCAACTCTTACTTCTCTTTTATCTGTGTTAGAAAGTTTTTCTGTCCATTCATGTTAATGACAGTAATGATACCACCTTATCTTGCTATCCTACCGTGTAGTTTCGAAATTACCTTCCACATCCATTATTTCATTTTATCCTTACAACCACTGTGTGAGGTATATAATTATCGCCATTATACAGACGGAGAGACTAAGATTTGGAGAGATTCAGGGGCTTGGTCTAAGATCTCACAGGGAGTTCCCAGGCTTTCTGATTCTTGGTCCACTAGCATATCCAACATATTGTTCTCTGCCTGCCCCTAATCCATAGTATGGAGAAGCTAAGAAGCTCTGCTTTCACTTGGGAGAAATAAGTTAGAAAATACCATGATCAGTATGCCTGGGGTCATGAGCCTTTGGCTCTGCCTGTGTGTGACCATGGACAGGTTTCTGACCCTTTATGGGCTCAATTTCTGTAAGCTGAGGAAACTATACTCAAAACATGAGGGAGCTCCTTCCAGATCTTTAATTTTTTGAATATAGGATTTTCCCTAAGACCCAGCTGAATAAGGAACCCAACAGTTCCATAGAGGTGGAAGCTCTGTAGAAGGTCCTTTCCTCTAGAAAGTGGTTAGGAGTGGTGGAAACTTGCTGACTAGAAAAAGATAAAACTGTCCATGGGGAAAATGGATCCAGGCTCCAGGACAGGGGATTTGGGGGATCCAGGCTCCAGGAAGGGGCCAAAAAAAAAAAAAAAAAAAAAAAAACCTTTAAAAAGAGATTGAGCTAACAGGGAAATAAGTCTGTGCATAAGGAGGAGGACATATTTAGGGAATTGAGAAACTCACACAAGGTTTAGAATTTGAAGATAAATCTGCAAAGCTTAGCGACTTGTTAGTTGATGTTGGGAATGCCCCTGCTCATCTCTGAATTTTGCTTCCCTGCTTTTAACAAAATGGAGTACTTCTCTGGGTTTATCTCTGATGTTCTGGGCACCAGTAACTGCCTGGAACATCAAAGGTGGTTGAGATTCTTGGTAAAGACCAGGCAAATATGCTGCAGGTGGACTGTGTATCAAAGGGAGGACAGCATGGGTGGTTGTGGATGTTGCTCCTTAGGCCTTAGCCTTTATCCTGCTGTGGTCAGTTTGATGTGGTCTGGAGTTCAAGGACAGGTTATCCCCCAGTGTCTGAGAATGGGGACCTCTGCTGTTTACCTGCCTCTCACACACTAAACTCTTAGCACATCAGACCATTCATCCTATGATTACCCACTTGCAGGCTTTTGCTAATTATTCTGCTAATCTGAGTGTCTTCCCTATTGACCTGTCAGACCCTACTTGACTACTCAAATTTCACTTCACTAAACAACAATAACAAATAATTACCGAGCACTGTGTCAGACAGTGGGGATACAAAAGAAACAAGACAAGTGCTGGAGCTCACATTTTGGTCAGGGAGATGGTCATCAGAAAGTAAGAAAAAACAGAAAAAAAATTTTTTTTTCTAGTTGAGGGAAACTCTTTGAATAAAATAATAGAGTGAAGGGGCATCTGGGTGGCTCAGTCAGTTAGGCGTCCGACTTCAGCCCAAGTCATGATCCCACACTCGTGGGTTCAAGCCCCTTGTCAGGCTCTGTGCTGACAGCTCAGAGACTGGAGCCTGCTTTGGATTCTGTGTCTCCCTCTCTCTCTGCCCCTCCCCTGCTTGCACTCTGTCTCTCTCTCTCCCAAGAAATAAATAAATACTAAAAAAAATAATAGTAATTAAAAAAATAATACAGTGAAAAGATAAGAGAATTATGAAAAACCCACATTAAATAGGGTGGTTTGAGCTGAGACCTAAGAATGAGAAGGATCTAATCATCCACTGGAAAAGCCAAAAGGAAAAGACTTTCAGGCAGAGGGGAAAGCAGCAAATGCTAAGGCCCTGAGGTGGAGTGACATCTGTATGTTTGAGGACTGACCGGCCTGTATGGCTGGACTGTGAGAGTGGGATGCAGGGAGGTCATGAAATTGACATGGTTGAAAGGGGGACAGTAGGCAGATCCTGCAGGGTCTTGTGAGCTTTGGTAAGGAGTTTGGATTTTATTTGAAGTACAGTAGGAAGCTGAGCTCATACACAAGTGTCTCACCTCTTTCAAACCTCTTCATCTACTTTTCGCCCTTATCTTGTTATTTCCCTTTTAATTATAGTCATGTACCATTGTGCTAAACTGTGAGCTCCCTGAGGGCAAGAATCCTACATATTGGAAGAATCCACATCTGCCTTACAAAGAGATGCAATGACCCTGGGAGATGATGAATGTGAAGAAAGAAAGCATGATACCTGGCATCTGATGGATGCTCAGTAAAAGTCAGCCAAAGTGAAATGAAGTAGAATTACTTTTGTTTTCTTCCCTCTGCAGAACTGGGAAGCACGCCTGCTGCTGGAGAGGTCATGTGCTATCAAGTGCCCAGATATTGCCACCCAGCTGGCTGGGACAAAGAAGGTGCAGCAGGAGCTGAGCAGAATGGGTGTGCTGGAGATGTTGCTCCCTGGCCAGCCTGAGACTGTGGCCCGCCTCCGTGCCACATTTGCTGGCCTCTACTCACTGGACATGGTGTGTGGGCTGCCTCTTTCTTCCACCACAGCAGGAACCCAGAATTCAATGTATTGGGGAGGCTGGAGCTGGTAGTGGGCTGGAGTCCATTGTAAGCTCCCTCAACAAAGGTAGAGATCCAAATAAGAGGTGGAAAGAGGAAGGAGCTGAGGAGGACAGCAAGAATTGGGGAATATCTATATGTGTTTTCCATGCCTCCTACTGTGGAGCCCTGAACTGTTGCCAGAGAAAGCTTGTTTTCATTGTACTTGCTGCCTTAAGGGGTTTGTTGGGGGTGACATCCAGATAGTAGCATCTAGCCTCACTCCTGTTATTCCTCTGATGCTGCTCTGCACAACCAGCAGGACCGCAGCTCCTGCCCCTGGTTTAAGACTGCTGGTAACTGCTTTCTTGCCTCCTGCCAGGGTGAAGAAGGGGACCAGGCCATTACTGAGGCCCTTGCTGCCCCTAGCCAGTTCGTGCTAAAGCCCCAGAGAGAGGGTGGAGGTAGGTGGTTCCCCCTTGGTAGGGCTGCTCAGTGGAAGGGAAGTGAGCAAGAAGGCTGTTACCAATGCTGACTCACACTTGCTATGGGCACAGTCCCAGGCTCTAGGGGACATAGGATGAACTGACACAGGCCTTCACCTTGGACAATGTCCCAGAAGACCCTGTGATCAAGTGATACTGAGCACAGAGGGACCTGATTAACCGTAACTGGAGGGTTCGTACAAGTTTAGTCTGAGGTGCCTGTGACCAGATTGTGGGGAAGTGGGATAGGGCATATCAGGAGGTTGGATAGGGCATATCAGGAGGTTGGATATCTTGCTGCCTGGTTTGAACTCCTTGAGGGCAGGGATCATGTCTGTCCACAGACCCAGAAGAAATGAGTTTTGATCTTGGTCTTAAGGGATAGGTAGGAGTTCACTAGGTGGAAAAGGAGGGAGAGTATTCCATACAGAAGGAGTAGCCTCAAGGAGAGGCACTGGTCCATGGACGTGTGGTACATTTGGAGATTAATGAATACTGGTAAGACTGGAGTACAGCATGAGAAATGGGAGGAGGCAGGGATTTGGGCTGGAAAAGATGGTTTGGGACATGATTATAGAGACCATTAAAAATATGTAGGAAGTTGGATTTTATCCTAAGGGTAGTGGGAATCCATTAGAGAGATTTAAGGAGGAAAGGGATACACATCTGATCCAGGATCCATGTTTCAGCCATGGTAACGTATGTCCTGGATGAGGGGAGACACTGGCAACAGACATCATAGAGGAGGCTGGTATAATTGTCCAGAAGAGCAATGTAGAGGCCTGGGCTAGGGCTATGACATTGTAAGAGTACAGACTGAAGAGACACGTCTGAGTTATTGACAGGTAATGGAGAGGGAGGAGTTAAATATGAGTCAGGATGCCTTTCACCTATTGGGAACAGGAAGATCCAGGAAGAGCAGGTTCAAGACAGAAGCAATGAGTTCTCTTTGGACATGCTGAGTTTGTTTTGGGAGCCCATGGGGTATCCCTGCAATGTCAAGAACAGGGAGCTTAAGTTGAAGATTTGGGAGTTAACAAGTCATAGAATATAGATGGAGCCTTAGAAATCTCCCTGGCGGGGGGGTGGGGAGTGTGTTCATGGAGGAGAGAACAGGGTGGCAGGTGGATTCCTTGGTAATTCCAACATTGAAGAGGAGCAGGAACCAGTTAGGGAGGCTGAGAAGGAAAACCATAGACAAGTAGGAGAACCAAGGCAGGATGCTGTGCTGAGGTGTGTTTGCTTATGTGAGAAAGGGCTCTCCTATTAAAGTGACATTCCCTTCTTGGGAGCCAGGCCTGCCCTGGCTTCACTGAGCTGGTGTTAGAAACTGAGGCTGCTGCCTTGACCACAGAAATGGGGGCACAGAGTGGAGAAGGTAGGCAGAGGGTCGAGGGTGACTGGCCAGTGTTATTGCAGGTAATAACCTATATGGGGAGGAGATGGTGCAGGCCCTGGAGCACCTGAAAGACAGCGAGGAGAGGGCGTCCTACATCCTCATGGAGAAGATAGAACCTGAGCCTTTTGGAAATTGTCTGCTACGGCCTGGCAGCCCTGTCCGAGTGGTCCAGTGCATCTCAGAGCTGGGCATCTTTGGAGTCTATGTCAGGTGAGCCAGTCAAGAGGGTCTCCTCCTTGCCAGACAGTCAGCCAAGTGAGCCTGGGGAGGAGAACTGGACAGGGAGCAAAAATCCTGGGCTTCAGTCCCAGCTCTGCGAGTCCCTAGCCATGTTACCTGTTTCCTTATCTAGTAAATGAGGCCAAGGACCCAAAACCTGCCCACCCACAGGGCTATCAAATGAAGCCCAGATGACAAGTGCTTTGCAGCTATAAAGGAAGTTCCAAGTAGTATCAAGAAGGATGAGAAAGTAACCCTAGATTATAAGGAGACCCCAGGGAAGAAGAGAATTTGGGTCCAGTTTCCAGGCCACCAGGGGTTCTGGAGAAAGGTGGGATGGGCCAGCTAGAGGATAATCAGTTGGCTCTGAAAGACTGAGTGGCCCCTGGTTTGGATGTGAGCACTAAAGAAACAGGAGAGAAGACCACTTGGGAATTTTTAAGGAATAGTTCCTGGTCCCTTAAACCGCTTCCTGCAAAATATGCAATCTAAGATCAAGCAAGTAGGAATATCAGATCCTACCATGCTCCTGACCTGAGCCTTCCCTCTAACCACTTAACAGCATCTCTGCCTGCCATGTTCCCCCAAACCCAACTACCACCATAGCCATCTTGACAGAGAGGGAGAGAAGGAAACTTACAGCTACAGAACATGAAATGTGAGCCTGGCATCATGCTAAGTGCTTTTCCTGCTTTATTTAATCCTCGTGACCATCTTGCAAAGTGAGAGGTATTATCTCTATTTTAAATTGAGGAAATTGATATTGAGAAAGGCTGAGTAACTTGCTCAAAGACACAGAGCTAATAATTTCCCCAAAACAATGCAAACCCAGATCTGATTATAAAATCCTAGCACTTTCTTGGGTGTAGTCAGTCACTCATATACTGCTCACGTGGGACCAGGGAAGGATTTGGCTGTGGGGGCTGAGTCTTGGTAATGGAGTGGTGTGTCTTCTGTCCCCCTTTCTATAGGCAGGGAAAGACACTTGTGATGAACAAGCATGTGGGACATCTGCTTCGAACCAAAGCCATTGAGCATGCAGATGGTGGAGTGGCAGCAGGAGTGGCAGTCCTGGACAACCCGTACCCTGTGTGAGGGCACAGCCAAGCCTTCCCAGATTTTGCTCAAGAGACCTATCCCTCATACTTGTCATTCCTCACCTAGCCCCTCTGAGGGTCTTCCCTCCCTGCACCTTGGGAAGGCTGGTCTCTTCTGTTCAGGGAAGGGTGAATGCTGGGTCCTTTCTCCAGCTCTCCCATCTGAGGACCAGAAAAGCTGTTTCCCTTAGGTGAGATCTACAGGCCCCTAAATCCTCAGAGTGTGGGTATAGCTGAAAGGAAGCTGATTTGAGGTAAGGGTCCATAACCCTGTCAACCGCCTGTCAGCTCCTCATCAGCCTTTTCAGCAGGTTCCAGTGTCTGACCTAGGATAGGACTGAGAGGTAGGAGAGGGGCAGTGAAGGGGCACAGCCTTTCCCTGCCTCTGCCTTAAATAAAACTATGTTGTTGATTCTGTGATTCCTTGGTTTATACATTTGAGAGGGGGAGGAGCTATAATCTGGGTCAGCACACTTAAAGTGGATTAGAACAGGGGAAATGACTTGGCTATAATCAGTCTCCCTAGCCCCAGACCCTAGGATAGAACCTTGAAGTTCCAGTCCTTAGTCACTCAGTAATGCTCCCGTAGGGTCATATGGAGAAGAGGGTCCCTTGGCAGGAGCTCAGGAAATAATGCAGCCATGATGGGACATCACAGGTGTGAACTGGCTTTAGTTGTTTTCCTGCTTAATTCAGGAGCTTGCCAAAGGGCCTATAAATGAAGCCCTGCCTAGATCTGCCCAAACCAAAAGTTCTGGAAATAGGATATTGGGGTATGCCTGAAGAAAACCACTCCCTTTCCCATCCCCCACACAAATCAGAACAGCTAGCAAGTACACAGTCTGTAAGACACCTAAGAAAACAAGTCACTGCCTTCTTAAGGTCACAGACTTTATTCCTATAACCATAGGGCCTGAGAATGACTGAAGCAAGAAGAATTTCATCTGAGAGTGTCTCTTATGGGAAGGACTGTTCATGGAAGGATGGGAACAGAGGACAAGGAAGATAAGCTCTTCTGGCCCTAAGAACAAAACACATTTACTCCAGCAAAGCAGCAGATAATCTGAAAACCCTCTGGAAACTGAGCCTGCCTGCACAGCCCCTGAAGTAAATGGGCAGAAAAGCACTGCCATCTGGCACAAAAGGGAATTCAGATCCAGAACAGAACCAGCAAAGTATTTAAAAAAATAATAATCAATTGTTCTGGGACTCACAAACAGGCATTTCTAAGGGAAAATGCATACCCAAGATAAGTAGTGGTGCTTCCTGAGAGAGCTGACAGGATTACAGAGCTGCTTACCGGCTTCAGTCTAGGCCCTCACTTGCCCTCTACATTCTTAACTTGAGTAAGGGACATGACCTTCAGGTCCTGTTCTGGGCTCCAAGGGCTCTTAAAGTCTAGGGGCTCAGCAAGCTGATGCTAACCTGGGCCATGTCCTATCTATCTGGCAACCACAGGAAGTTGCCTCCACACAGGGGCAAAGCTGGTCCTCAGTCCCAGACAGCTGGTCAAGAGAGGTGGTATGGGTCTGCACTGGCCCTCAGCACTCCTGGATGGGGGCAGGGAGGATGGGAAAACTTTGCAAAGCCAAGCAGGGGCAAGCCTGGGTGAAGGGCAGGGTCTTGTTTACTGGATGGTCAGGCAGCGGTGGTTGAAGAGCTGGCAGATGACAGTTGGGTCAGCCACAGTAGACGTGTCCCCCAGGTCGTGGTCATTCTGAGCAATCTTCCGAAGCACCCGCCTCATAATTTTCCCTAGGGGACCACAGCCTTCTGGTTATGTGGTGATAGCACTGACCCACTCCAGCCCTGCCAAAATGGCTTCCATCCACACACATTCTGCCACCACTAGGCCTTGGCCAATCCCAAACCCAATCACTTGAGGCCTTTGAACATACCTGAGCGGGTTTTAGGCAAGCCAGGTGCATTCTGGATATAATCCGGTGTGGCAATGGGGCCAATTTTTTCTCTAACTGTAACCAACAAATCATTAAGCATTTCTTCAGTATCATTAGCCAGGCTCCCAAAACCATGGCTTTGTTCCCCACCTATTTTCTCTTCAAGGCTCTGCCCACAGAATCATTCTTAGAGTCACTGCCTTTCTCTCTCTTTTTTTTAAGTAGGCTCCATGCCCAGTGTGGAGCCCAGTGCAGGGCCCAACCAACATGGGGCCTGAACTCACAACCTTGAGATCAAGATCTAAGCTGAGATCAAGAGTCACACACTTAACCGGCTAAGCCACCCAGGCACCCTGGTCTTTCTCTCTTTTCAACACACTTCTATCTCATTTTGTATCAGTCTTCCTTCATGGAACTCCAACTCTAAGAATCCACCTTCTAGAGTTTAAATCCCACTTTATTAGCAGTGTGGCCTTGGGCAAGTGATTTAACTTCTCTGAGCTCCAATTTCTTCATCTTTAGGATGAGGTAACAATAGGATCTATTTCACAGTGGTGATTATAGGTATAAAATGGATTAATGCATTTAAAGCACTTAGCCCAGTGGTGGCAAAGAGAATTCTATAAATGTCAGCCATTATTATCCTAGTGGAGAGACTAGAGGAGACTGAACGGGAAGGTGGCAATCAGCCCTGAAGGCCCCCTAGGATCTGGTTTATAGTTTGGGGGGCAGCTTGCTCTAGCCTCTTCCCAACAATTTGCTGTGGTAACTTGGCCATCAGGACAGTCCCTACAGTCCCTGCTTAGGGAGGCTTCTCACTCTGCTTCTTGAGTTCCTCGATGAGGGTGGGGCTGAAGGTGTAGCCATCACACAGGGTGACAAAGCAGTAGAGGCATTCGCCCTTCACAGGATGAGGATGGCCGACCACAGCTGCCTCTGCAATAGCCTCATGTTCCACAAGTGCTGACTCCACCTCTGCTGTGCTCAGCAGATGTCCTTGTCAAGGGAAAGAAAGTGCCATGAGAGAGATCCCATGCTCTACCCCAGCCCCTGTTCCATCTGTGCCTAGAGGGCTGTCCTGGTCTGGTCAAATGGGGAAGCCCCTTCATTCATTCCTCACATGATCTGCTCTGGTTGTCCCACCATCCTGGTTCCCCTCCTCTAAGCACACTCCAGTGTTTATAACTCTTCCTCCAAACCTCTACCCAAAAATGAATGCTGCACTGTAAGTATGGTTTGGCCAAGGACATCCTGGTTCTCTTGGAAGGCTTTGGCTGGGACTTGCTGGGGAAGTAGTGCTAATGAGAAGGGAAAACAGTCCCTGGCCCTCACCAGATACATTCAGCATGTCATCAATCCTTCCAGTGATCCAATAATAGCCATCCTGGTCCCGTCGGCAGCCTGGAAAGAGAAGAAATACACAACATGATAAATACCTCACAGTAGGGTACACGATCCATATTATCAAACTGCTACACCCACTGCAGTAGTCTCCTAACAATCTTCCTGCTTCTATACCATGGTAGCCAGCCACTGTATTTCCACTTTCTGATGATATTCAGACTTCTGTGTAGTCCTCTTCCTCATTGTACTTGGGTTAGTCTGCATGATCAACAGAATTTGGCAGAAGTAATGGGATGTCGTTTCTGACATTAGATTATAGAAGATGCCATGGCTTCTATGTTGGTGGCATTTTCTCAGATTATATGCTCTGGGGGAAGTCAGCTGCCATGTCATCAGTAGCCCTGTGGAGAGGTGAGGAACTGAGGGCTGCTGCCAACAGCCACATGAGTGAGCTTGGCAATAGGTCCTCCAGGCTCAATTAAACCTTCAAATGACTGCAGCCCCAACCAACAGCTTCACTGCAACCCATGAGAGACTCTCAATGAGAATTTCTGACAAAGCCACTAACAAATTCCTGATCGTCAGAAATTGTGAGATATCTGTCATTTTAAGCCGCCAAGTTTGGAGGTAATTTGTTCCATGGCAACAGATAACTAATATACTCACCTAAAGTCTGTTCTCCATAAATCAGTTATTTTCTAAACAATAAACCAGTTCTTGTCACTTGTCTGCTTAACAACCCATAAAGGTCCCCCCCATTGTACACATTTGGATTTTGGATAAAATCCAAAGTCTTCACCATGACCCACAAGGTCCTACATTATCTACCTCTCCAACTTCATGTAATATTCTTCCCTTCCCTTTGCTCACTATACTTCAGCCACACAGGTTTTGGTCTGCTCCTCAGACATTTCAAGCTTATGTCTCTGCACAGAACACTCACTCTTACTCCAAAATTTTCCCATGCCTGGCTGCCTTCTCACTCTACAGGTCTCTGGTCAAATATCACTTCCACGAAGCCTTCTGTCACCAGCCCATGTATGGTGGTCATTCCTGCAGACATCCTTTATCCTGTAACACTGTTTATTTTTCTTCATAGCACTTGTCACTAAGATAAGTTTATCTACTTGTTTGCTGTATTTATTGTCTATCTCCCTTTGCTAGAATATAAGCCCTGTGTGAACAGAGGCCTTGTCTACCTTATTCATGGTAATATCCCCTGTGCTTAGATCAGTGCCTAGACATAGTAGGTAATAAATCGTTATGGATGAATGGATTGGTGGATAGAGTCATGGCCAAACACAGGCTCTAGACATGAGGATGCACATGACATAGTAATACATACTGCTGCATGCCCCATCTCTTTTAGCACAGGAACAATGGAAACAAGAACCTCTTTCCTCATATATCAAATCAGATGGTTCCATGCTGAGACTTTCCATACAACACTCATACCTGCTGTTACAGTCTTCTGTATAGCTCTGCCTGGATATTAGGCACTGACACATAGAATATGTTCCTCTCTTTGTTACTCTTCACCCCTAACCAACTCTTCCTGAAAAAGGAAGGGGAAGATACATGTCTTGGTGGGAGGTGTGGGAAAGGGATAGCTAAGGCTCACCATCTCCTGTCACATAGTACCCAGGGAACTTCTTAAAGTAGGTGGCCTCAAAGCGTTCATGGTTCCCATAGACTGTGCGCATGATTCCTGGCCAGGGCTGCTTGAACACCTAGGGAGTGAGAAAGGCACAGTGGT